GTAGAGAAATATTTATTCTACTAGATCATCTATTTCGAATTTGAAATTAGTTCCTAGCTTTATTGCAACGATTCTTTGAAAATGAGTGAAAAAAGGGGACCGTTAGCCAGACAAGCCGATTAGATTCTCGATGCTGGATTATCTACGCTTCACAAGCTTCAGTCATCTATACTCGTTTCTCTATTACGTTCTTGATTTCTCTGTACGGACATACAGGCATTTTGTTTTATATGCCCCTGACTAAGACATAAAGGGGTGGCCGAGAGTTTTTCTAATTCGAGAAAGATTCAAGAATTCAGAAATAACCATCAAAGATTATTCAAAAATTGAAGAATTCAGAAATTGACCCAGACTTTTGAGTTTTTTCAGTTGAAAGAATACAAAAATTCAAAAACTGAAAATGTGACTTTTCTCAATTTCTTGAATTCGAAAAAGCCAAAAATTCTTTGAATTTATATCGAATCGGTTTGAACAATTCTTGGAATTCTAGTATTCAGGAAATGAAAGAATACATAAGTTTTAATTCAGAGAGTAACAAATAAGAAGTCTCTTTGTAACCATAGTGCGGTGTGGGATGGAGTGAGCCGTTACATAATATTGAACCATGCGTTAGAGTCCACTCTGATCCGCGCAATTCGTCGGTTTGTGACTATTCTGAATACGTGAGTTCAAACCGATTTCATATAAACTCATAGAATTTTGACTTTTTCGAATTCAAAAAATTCATAAAAAGTCACATTTTCAGCTTTTCAATTTTTGTACTCTTTCAATTGAAAAAACTAAAAGGTATCTGTCAATTTCTGAATTGTTGAATCTTTCTGAAACTAGAAAATGATTAATTCAATTTATGAATTCTTGAATTCTTTTTGCTAATCTTGAAAATTTTATCAATATAGAGTTCTATGAACTGTGCTTCCCCTTACTCTGAGTTGAGATATTGTCGTTTCACAATTTTACGTTTTGGTCACACATCATGTGATTGTCAGAGCAGAAATAGATTAGTTAAGTGACCTTATTAGCAAGAAAGGTATCAGAGCATTAGATGACGCAGTCAAAAATCTTAAGAGAAGCCAGTAGTATAAAATGGTCATTATCAGTTTTGCCGAGATAGCAGCAATAGTTATCGTGTTACAAAAAAAATTAAAACATGGAGAAAATAATTTGTTTTTGGATTCTCGAGGACCCGTCGTCTTAGCGATATAGATTTTTGCTATTAGTATTGATATCGAAAACCAGTCTTATTTGCCAATAGCATGGCTATACATAGCACAACAAAATTTTACGTTACCAATTACTTTTTGAGCGTGAATCATAATTCCTACCAGACAATCCATCAAAAACAATTCATCTTCACAAAATTGAAGTGTGCAGGGCGTTTGGCTCATAAATTACAGCAGTCGACATACGTTTTTCATCACTATTGTATTCATCCTTGAAACAGTGCGCGCGTTTTCTGGTTGGTTAAACACGCATGAGAGGTGTTTCTTCCTCTTCCTCAGTAACTGTGATGACATAATGATTTTTTTCTACATAAATCATACTGCTATAAAGTATACTTTCATTTTTTTTCATTTCAGTCTATATATTAGTGTTTGGTGTGTTAGTCATGAGTAGTGTTAAATTATCACTTATAGTTGGCCTTATATTCGCAATATGGGGTTATTCATTATGTGCGCCTTATTTAGACGACTATGACGATCAAACATTATTCGGTAATATAATGTAACCATCGAAGATGGGTGATAGAATAACTTTACTGTCATTATAGCTCAACTTCGATCATTATTCCGTAGTTATTCGCGTCAAGAAATGGATCGAGAATTGAATGATATAGTAAAAAAAGAGGTATTGTGTGTCAATGAATCAGAGTGTCATTATATTGGTCCTACTTGGGTGAGTAGGTGTACACACTTTCAGGATTTGAAGAGTAACCTTCACTTGTGTTTTAGCATTGCTTACATAATCGTTATGGGACCCTATCCTGTGTCGCCGTCGGTGTATGATTGTATCATAAAATAGGACGGCAAGAAATATATAACAACAGACCATCCGTCTTATCTTCGTTTAAAGTTTAGTTAACGGTTTCAAAAATTGATTATTCTTTTGATGTGAAAAAATGCTTTCACTACCAAATAAAAATGCCTATACTGCCGAATATTTTTCAGCAAATACTAAAAGATTAAAAATACAACATCGTTATGGAATGAATCGAGATAATTCTATAATTTACGACTATTATAAGGATATTCCAAAAGTTATAACGTCTCGGCCAATTAGTACATACCGCATGTGAAGTTTTTTTATGTCCGATAAAAACTGATTGGTTTTAGAGATCTGATAACAACTACTCCTTTTTAGCTTTTTCTTTCATTAGAGGACTAGGACCATTGGTTAAGAACATGTTTACTCAATAATTTTGGATTTTTTGGTATGTAAGCTGTCCTTTTGCTGCAAAGTGATTTTTGAACGTTGTGTGTTTTTCGCTCAAGGAATGCCAAAGAAAATTAAGGTTTCGTTTAATTTCCATTCCAGAGGGAACACTTTGGACTATCTCCCTATGAAAAAAATCAAAGCTTTCCTATTCCGACTTTTTCCAGCAGAGCGAGGTTTTTCAAAAACGCTTGCAGAAACTTACTTAGCAACAAGACTTTGGAACTTGATTTTCTATCAGAAAATGGTCCATGATTTCTCTATTTAATGGCGGAAACTACCGATCGCTGTCTATCATCGTTCAGAAGTTATTCGAAGAATGGCAATCTTTTGGTTAGACAATATCCATTAAGCGTTCCTCAGCAATGAAAAGTCTTTTTTTCCTAAACAGTTCAACAACTCATAGTTGTGAATATAGCTAGTTAGAATCTCACTTTAGAATCGGGAATGAGCTCAGTACCAGGGGCTTCCGAGAGTTTTCTACAACCTCAAAAAATAGACGTGTAAAATGCTATTTTTGGATAATTTAAGTTTTGTTTTTATACGTAGAGCAGACTTGAATTGCAAATGTTCAGAGATGGAAGGGTCTTAAACTGTACCACACTTACAGAAACACTGACACAAGCTTTAAGACTTTGAAAAACTCTTTTGAAATTATCTGAGAACCATCCTGTTGATACCTTTTACCCATCGTAAGAATAAATAATTTCCTATCTCAGAATGAAAAGTTGTTAAATTGGCTGTAGTAGTACTATACGTTCATCCTCGTATTTCAACGTTCAAACAAAAGCAAACTTACTTTGAAGCGTATTTTACATTCATGCCCTCCCGGTTTCTAATTCTCCAGAATGTTCCCGAGCATCTAGTGAAGGTAGTTTAACTTGAACTGGTTGTGTATTTTGATGGCCTCATATGGCTCTTCTCGTGCTTCGCTATTGTTATACAACATATTTTTCAAACCGAGAAAGATGTCATAGAACTGCACGAAAGACAATATGACCCGACTAGGACTCGAACCCAGGACCATGACATTCTGTACCAACGCTCTAATCAACTGAACTGTAAAGCCACAACTTCCTCATATCGTCGTTCGCCTTACTAACACCTTCTCTTGTCTGTTGTCCTCGAATTGTTCGACGATTTTCAATACGTCCACCGTGAACTTCATTCGGGATCATGAATGGTCACCATTAATTATTAAAATACAGCTACATTGCGATTTTGTGATATATTTTGTTGACGAGAATAAATATTTTTATTAATTTTATGAACAATCAGTAATAACTGCGTAAACTTTAGTGGAATACATAGGATGCACATAAAGCAAACTTCGAGTGAAATTCTTTCTCGACTTTGGGATGCATATTCTTGTTCAGCACATCAAGCTGACCACGAATATCACCTTCCCGGTCCCAGAAAACATTTCATCGCGAAGAAAACCTTAAAATACTGAGAAGGTACCAAACAGGTCAACAATCTTGGTTTTCCGAAAAAACGTCGCTGTTTCGCCAAATTTTGTCCTAGAGACTCGAGCTTGGTTTCATTCGATTTCTCATTAAACACTGATCTTAGACAAGCCACTTTCAAGTCTCCAAACCCAAGACTGAAAGTATGGCCAGGTATTGAATTTTCAAGGTCAAAATTCGAGACCCTATGTTCAAAAGCCTATCTAATTTTTTGAGTTAAGAGCTATATCTTACGTTTATACGTCAAAAGATGCGCCTTGAAACAAGCGTTAAAATGACGTAGAGCCTTTTTCGAAATATTTTTTCCTTGCTGAGATATGCGCAATACATTGACAAATAGCGTCTTTTTCGACAAATCCTTACTTTAAAAAAAATTTGATCCGATCGAATAAAAACTGACGGACTTATAGCGAAAACAAAAAGGTCCCATTCTTTATGGGACAACTGTTAAAAGAAAAGTTCTTAAAACGGTCGTAGTCGTAGTGCCATAGGTCTCAGAGTCTGTAGGTTTTTGACTGTACTGTATCCTGTCTAAAGTTATCATATTTTACTTTTGAACTTTATAATCGGACTCTGGTTAAGCTAGATTTTGAGTTAAGAGGCTTTAAACCTTTTTTCTATAGAAACTTAACCGTAAAAGAACGTTTTTAATACGCTCATTGGATCAGACATATTTTTACCTATGTAAAAAATGTAGTTTTGATTGAAAAAATAACTTCTTCTGAAGGAACTCTCGCAGACTTTTGATAAATAACAGCAGTTTTTGAGCAATCTTCTCTAACTAATCCAGGTCCGAAACTAAAATTCTTTTGTGTTTTACTTCAAAATACTTGCGTGTTATCAACGTATCCAGTTGCGAAAGTTAACGCTGATGACAAGAGGTATTTTTACAGATTTTTCAAAGCCTTCAAAGGACTTTCTTATAAATATCGCTGCTAAAAGAAGAATGATTTCCTGAAAATAGCCTTTTCTATAGAGGCTAAAAATTCTACCATAATCAGATGGATTTTTAGAGGATCTCGGAAAGCTCTGAGATTTGATAGTTCAAATTTTTTAGCTAATTTTTGTGTTACGAACAAAATCTCTGATGGATTACTATTTTTTGTACTTAATATTCAACGCTTGAGTGAACAAATAGTAAACATTGATTTACTTTTCCATGGTAAAGCAAAGAAAGTAACTCACCTCCTATGCTTTTCTCTTTTCATTGTGCTTTTTGTATGAATGGTCGGTGGAAGACGGCCGATTAAAGGAGGAATGCCTCACTTTCAGCGCATGCACTGGGATTTGAAAGTGTCGCCTGAAATGTCTAAATACTGCCTAATTAACTGCATAACACACTTAATGTGTATCCTGCAAAAACATATGTTCTTTTTCACTCGCCGTAGGTACCGAAATATCGTCCTATAGGAACTGTTGGTAGTGACTAACAGAATACAAACGATGTGTATTTCAGCAAAAGCCTGCATAACGCGGTCAATTGGCAGTTATTTGAAGAACCGTGGTTAACCGACTGTTTCCTATAAAAATAGGCGACATGGGTAATACAATTAGTAAACACATGAGTAGTATAACGACATGGCCAATACAACTAGTAAATTAAAAAGTTAAAAACAATTCTACTGTAATACATAATACCCATGAAATCACAATGAAGCAGGACGCAGCAACCAGAAAAAACAAACAGCTCTGGTCGATTGACCGCACACTTGCCGAAGTATTTTACATATAGCTTTAATTTGAAGAAAACCATAAGCATTTTTATGTTAAACTGTCGGTTATCTTATCAGAGACTCTTCTCTTGGCCAATGGACCTATTCTCGTTGTTGATTGGTGCTTTCTAATTCTTCGATTTGGTCAAGGGAATCACGAATGAAAAAAAGCTTTTCAATTACTGCGGGGTAGCCCCTTCACTGCACACGTCACAGTCGCACTTAGGCACGCAACAATCTGATAGTACGGTCACCGAACGGTTTGTTACCGAACATGTCCTGGAAGCTTGATGCGATCGAATGTGTTCGCATGAAGATTTCAAATAAGATAGTTAATATTTTTCTCATCCGAGAGATCGCCGAGCGTTCTGCTGAGAAACTATTAGGACAAAGTACCGTGAACCTTATAAAGACACATTCGAATTAGGGCTACAACTTTCTGTCTACTGTATTTGCACAGTGAGGAATAGCATTCTTGCACGAAAACAAAGTAAATCAATGTGCTACAGAGGCCACATTAGTAAAGTATGCTTTAGTTAGAGAGTAAAGCAGATGTAGTGGAAACTATAGGTACTTTGAACTTTCTGGAATAGAGTAAACATAAAGCTGCTGCTCTAATTCAAACTTTTCTTTACATGACAACCTACGGCTGCGGCGTAATCATGGCTGCCCCTTCGTTTGTTGTAATCTTCACTATTTTTTGTATTTTACAGAGATTTATTTCATGTGTTTTTTCGCTCTGACGTTTTTAGCTTTCACAAACTATTTTTGTAAACCTTTGGTGGCGAATCGCTCACTGACCGAACGTGTTTGGTAGCGATCCGGTAGAACACACATTCGCTCACATTGTACACTAGTTAGTCTATTTCGGAAACAGAATATGATCGGCTGCGAACCGTTTAGTGACCAAACATGTTCGGTGGCGATTAGCCCTGGCCTGGAGTTGTTGCATGCCTAGTCGCACCAGCCAGCGTTTCTCAATGATAAAGCATTCATATGCTTCATCTAACTATATCATTCAAACAATTATTGCGCATTCCTTGACTAGACTGTACGCAATAACCTTAAATATTCTTGCAATATTCTTGGTGCAACGATATTCAAGGTTATTGCGTACAGTCTAGTCAAGGAATGCGCAACATTGCGGGTATAAATAGATCGAGTTTATTGTTAAGAGATATCTTTTCTTATTTGTAAATAAAAGTTAGGTGAGAAAAATCTTAGTTTACCCGGAAACCTAACATTGGTGCACTAGCCGGGGTTAATACA